GATTTCATATATTTATGTTTTCTTCAGCTGAAGTATTTCTAGAAAACATTAAGCAAATATTTATAAAGTATTATATTTTATAATTACTGTCTCCTTGTTACTGGGTTTGATATGAAGGATATAATGATGACATGCACATTTTTTTCATAGTTGAGATTCAGAAACATTGAAGTAACAGATCCAATAATAAATTTTGCTGTGTTTGCAACATTTCAGATAGGTTGTGTATTTGCAGAAAATTATTATACACCAGCACATACACACACACATAGAGACACAAAGAGGATTAATAAGTTCTCTTTTTAACTAGCTCTAAGAAACAAGCCGACCACACAAGCATGAAAAGGGCAAGCAACTGCTGAAGACACTGAATTCAAGTGACTATCTCACTGGGTCTGAGGACTCATTCTTCCAACAATTCCAGTCTGTTTTAGAGGTTTATCAACATTCTAAAAACAAAAATGTTATGAATAAACCACTCACTCTCATTTATGGGTTTTCTTTAACATAATTTCTCCTGGTTCTTGACTCAAACTCAGACAATAACAAGTTCACATTCTTTTCCAGAAGAGAGAAATAGTACTCAGATGTGCCTGATGAACATCGTTGCAATTTTCTTTTTGACAATGGTGTAAATCCCTTATAATTGAGGTCTCTAATACTGAGTTTGGTACAAAGACAAAGACCACAAATTAATCTGTTCACAGTGGTAAATTTGATTTTTAAAATTGTTTTAGAGTCTGTTATGGATTGAATTGTATCTCTCAAAAATATATGCTACAAATGGGCAATCTACTTCCATAGTGATAGCACCTCGGAAACCCAAGGAGGGGCCGCTATGAATCGGGCTGACTTGATGGCACATAACAACAACAACAACATTAAGAAATCAAAGAAATCAAATGACATAATGCATTTGGCAAATCTGCTACCAAAAAAAAGAAAGAAAAAAGAAAAGAAAAACCACTTTAAAAGTGTTAAAGAGCAAAGATGTCACCTTGAAGACTAAAGTGCCCCTGACCCAAGCTCTTTTGGTTCTCTAGTTCTGCTTTAACAGAAAAATGCTACAAGTAGATGGCTTTAACAAACAGGAAATTTATTATATTTTAGTTTAGGAGGCTAGGAGTTCAAGTTCAAAGTGCTAGCCCTAGGGGCTGGGTGAAAGTCTCTCGATCTTGGGTTTCAGTGCTGCCTCCTGCACCTGGCCTATGGAACTGAAGCCTTCTCTTAACTCAGACAGCTGCTGGCTGCTGAGGCTGACAAACCCAAGGTTGACAAGTAAAATGGCACTGTCCCCAAATTATCAAGCAACATTGCAGGTCACTTGTTCAAGTCCAGAAACAATCTCAATGTCAGCAGACAACATGGCAGGCCACTGAAATGAAGACAGCCAAATGCAGGATTTTGATTTGCCAAAAAGCTTGAGATTTTTCTCAAAGCTTTTTCTTATTTACTGGAAGCAGACCACATCTCTAAGGCAGCTACTCCGCTGCTCACCATAGATCCCACCATGAAGCTGATTGCCAGTCTCATAAGGGGAAATAACAACATCTAGCTGCCCAGTTACTCAAAACCAGTTCCAGCCAAGTTAACACACAACCTTAAATATCGCACCTCATACACATGTGCAAGCTGGACAATGAATTAAAAAGACTGAAGAATTGATGCATTTGAGTTACAGTGTTTGTGAAGAGCATTGAATATATCATGGACTGTCAAAAACAAACAAATCTGTCTTGAATGAAACAGCTGGCATGCTAATTAGAAGAAGATAGCAAGACTTCACTTCTTGTACTTTAATCATGTTGTCAGGATGGACCAGTTCCTGGAGAAGGATATCAGGCTTGGTAAAACAGAGGGTCAGCAAAAAGAGGAAAACATTCAAAAGGATGTAGTGACATAGTGGGTGTAAAAAATGAGTTCAAACATTAGATTGTATCCTTGGATTGTGAGGATGGAACGGGACCAAGAAGTATTTTGTTCTTTTATACATGCTGTCCTTTGAGTTAGACCTTATGGAGCAGTTCTATTCTGCACACATGGCTTACCATGAGTCAAAATCAATTGGATGGCAACTAACAACAACAATATGCAACATAAACCCCCTGTCCCTGTATTCTAGGCAGCCTTTTGTCTCTCAGTCTCAAATTATACCTTTCTTAGGGTCTCAAGACCATGGAGAGCCATTTAGATTGAATAGTAGTATTTATACATGCAAAGGAAACAAGTGAAAGAATAGAGGAAATGCTCCTGACCATAAAGCCTTGCAATTTTGTTCTTCCTTAATATTTGTAGGAGGTAAGAATAGTTATCTGTTGCTATTATTTACCTTGCCCTTTGGCTTCTCTAAAGAATAAACACCACCAATCAAAAAAAAAAACACTGCCATAGAGTTGGTTCCAACTCAAAGTGACCTCTCCTCCTTGGGTTTCTGAGGCAGTATCTCCATGGAAGTAGATTGCCTAGTCTTCCTTCCAAGGAGTGGTTTCTGGATTTGAACTGCCAACCTTCTGGTTAGCAGTCAAATGCCTTAAGCACTTCACCACCAAAGTTCCTCTCTAGAGAATACAAAAACCAAAACCAAACTCACTGCCATCCAGTCGATTCCAATTCATAGTGACCCTGTTTGGGTTTCTGAAGGTGTAAATCTTTACAGAAGTATATTGCCCAGTCTTTCTCCCAAGGAGTGACCTTTAGGTTTGAACCACCAACCTTCTGGTTAGCAGTCAAATGCTCTAGGCACTACTCCACCAGAGCTCCTTTCTCTAAAGAATGTTCTTGTTATGTGCCATCAAGTCCTCCTTGGGTTTCCACAGCGGTATCACTATGGAAGTAGATTGCCCAACCTTCCTTCCGAGGAGTGGCTGCTGGGTTTGAACCACCAGCCTTCTGGTTAGCAGTCAAGTGCCTTAGGCACTATGCTACCAGAGCTCCTACTCTAAAGAATAGAGGTACTCAAATAATCTGCATCTGCTACTGCTCTGGCTGGCTCGTGGTTGAGAGTTTACAGTGTGTGTATGTGTGTATGTATGTGTATGGAGGGTGTCTCTTCCTACAAACACATAATCTATCTGAAATGCTGCAACCACAGTATAAGTTATTACTTGATCCATTATATCTACTACACAATTTCCCCATTTTCCTATTAGTATTTGAAGGACGATATCAAAACTTTTCATAACTGGTCCTATATTATGGTATGAGTCTGACTCTTTTACCAAGTTTTAGGTATCTTTTAGGTCCATGTATTATTTATTATTATGTAACAAATTACCCCAAAATCACACACATTTTTTTTTTTTTATCTCACACAGTTTAAAGTGTAGGAATCCAGGAATAACTTGTTGCACTGAAGAGGTTAGCTGAGGCTGTAGTCTTCTTCAGTCCTCATTGGGATCTACTTCCAAACACTCATATAGCTGATACCTGTAGGCTCAATTCCTCATTATGCAGCCCTTTCCATAGGGCTGTTCTCACACAAGTGAATAAATCAACAGGGAGAGAAAGAGGCCAGGACAAAGGCCACATTCTTTTTATGCCTTAGTTTTATAGTCACATATCATCACTTCTGCATTATTCTATTTGTTAGAAATGTGTCACAAGTGAGCCCATACACTAAGAAAAATGAATTAAATCCTAACTCTTAAAGAGAAGTGTTTTAAATAATTTTTAGACATGTATAAAATCACAACAAATTGTTTCTTATTAATTAACAACTCCTACAAATCAACTAATCTTTCTATACTCAGTTAATACCTCTTGATTTGAGTTCACTTATATAAGTTAATTCAACTAAATACCATTAGGCAGCCAAGATAAGGAAATCATGTTTTCAATTCCCATTTATATATTTTGACCTTTTCTTTTACATATGATGAAGTCAAATTTAAATTTAATTATGGCATACCTTGAGTTTTATAGAATCAAAACAGATGCTCACAAAAGCTCAGGAAAAGATTTTTGATAGCATCAATTCTTCTCTACTCAGAACAAGAATGTTTACCCGCTTGTAAGAGATTCCAGAATATAATCATTTCAGAGGGAAGAATGTAATGGGCAGTAATAAGACCATTATAAATACATGGAGAAAATTTTACTTTATATAGATTAAAGAAAGACATTCTAGGTGGTGATTTTATTGGTACTCCTAATCTCTGAAGACATAAACCTATGTACACATCTTCTAAATGTATGTATTTAATGCTTAAAGACGCATTGTAAATTTTTGAGGCCAAGGATCCTGAAAACACATATCCAGTTCCAGAACAAAAATCTGGGTATGGATCTTGAGGATAGATATCCATTGGCATGTACCACTTGCTATTAGAATTTCGTATAGGTGAAGCATTTCTCATAGGAAAGCCACTGAAGTAAAGCTCTGAAGGTGAAATTGTAACTAAGAGCTTTTGTATCAGAGTCTCTGTATTAACAAACACATCTGTGTCAGTTTTCATGACAAAATGTGCATTGGGACAATAAAAAGTAACCCATTTTATACCCATAAGAACTTTATGGGTTAGGTTGTTATAGGTATCTTGAAAGTCCTGCTGAATAATATCATGATACTTACTACTTTCTTGCATTATGTTTTCAGTGCTATATTCTTTCTGAACACCCAGCATGAATAGGCGAACCACATGATATCCTGGTACCACAGTTTCATTTCCCCAGGTGTTCCTGATGCTGTCTCTGTGTGAACTTTCATTAGGTTGAGAACAGATTAAAAACACCAGAAATGGTGTTTTTCCTTTACATTTGTTTTCTTCATTGATAAGAAATTCATAAGGCTGAGGATACATGTGTTTTTCATTGGTTTCCTGAGTCAGTTTAGTGGTATTTAAATTATTCTTCACAGAAAGTGGACAATTAATAAACATATTCATTGTGGGAGAGTTTGTTTCTTTGATTTCCTTAATGGCTAAAGTTCTTTCTTTTAGTGCATTTTTGTTGTGAAAATTTAGAACAAATTCTTTTGCCACTATAAATGGAGCTAAAAGTGTACTAGATTTGGACACCAGAGGTATAAAAATTAAATAGGTTATCCCTAAGCAGAGGGTACCAATTAAGAAAGATAGTTTTATGAAAAATAAAGAATATATAGTTATTCTTCTTATGTGAGCCATGTTTCATAACTTTTTCAAGTATCCATAGGAATTTGATATATTGGGGTAGAGAAATTATATTCAGCAGTAAGACATTTATTTTCCTTAGTTAGAAAATGTGATTTTTTTTCCTGTTTCTCTTAATCCTTTGCATTATAGATAGGGTGAAGTCAAATTTGGATCTGAAAATAATGATATATCCTGAGTTTCATATAATCAAAACAAATGATCCTGGAATATGATTATATGCCCACCAAAGTTTTTTGATGACATCATTGATTCTTCTTGTTTTAGAACAAGAATAATCTGACCTAAGGAATAAAAACAATATATAGTTAATACACTGTATAAATACAGAATAACACCATAGAGCACAATGTGTAATAACAACATGCATAACAAAAGCAAAACAAGACCTAATAAATCATTAGCAATATTTTTTTTCTGTCAGGAGGAATACTCTATTTTTCTTACCCTTCTATTTCATTTTAAATAGTGGAAAGGGTAATCTGGTTTGTTACGTACAGGACAAGGTTTGGTCAATTTTTAATAGTGACAAGCATTATAGATTGAATTATGTCCCTCAATAACATGTGTTATAAATCCTAACCTCTATGCCTGTAAATTCTGTATAAACCAATGGCTAAAGCCAATGATGAAAAATTGAAGATTTTTACCAACTTCTGCAATCTCAAATTGACCAAACATGCAATCAAGATATATTCATTATTGCTGATGATTGAAATGCAAAAGTTGAAAACAGAGAAGAACCATCAGTAGTTGGAAAATATGGCCTTGGTTATAGAAATGGCATTAGAGATGACATGATAGAATTTTGCAAGACCAATGACTTATTCATTGCAAATACCTTTTTTCAACAACATAAATGGTGACTATACCCGTGGGCCTAGCCAAATGGAATACACAGAAATCAAATCAACTCCATCTATGGAAGGAGAAGATGGAGAAGCTCAAAACCATCAATCAGAACAAGACTCGGGCCTCACTGTGGAGCAGACTATCAACTGCTCATATGCAATTTCAAGTTGAAGCTGAAGACAATTATATCTACAAGGGCCAAAATATAATGTTTAGTATATCTTACTTAAAGTCAAAGACCATCTGAAGAATAGATTTGATGCACTGAACTCCAGTGACAGAACTCCAAATGAGTTGTGGGATGACATCAAGAATATCATACATGAGGAAAGCAAAAGGTCATTGTGTTAGGCTGGGTTGTCTAGAGAAGCAAAACCAGTGAAGCTTATGTATACATACAGAGAAAGAGAAATTTATCTTAGGGAAATGGCTCACAAACTTATAGAATTTGGCAAACTGTAAGTTCTTGGATCAAATGTCAAGCTGCAGCCTTTTCTCAACTCATGCAGCTGCAAGGGCTGATAAGCTCAAGGTTAGTCAGGCAGTATACTGGCTGTTGACTCCAATGAATGATGAATCCAAGATCTACAGGCTGATGGTGGATTGTTCATTCATGGACAGTTGTAGGCAGCACAACAGGATCCCAATGCACAGAAGAGTTTCTCTTTTCCTAGGATGTCTCTAAATATATTGGAAGCAGGCCACACCTCTAGGGAAACTCACTTTCAACAGATTGGCTGCTCAAAACATATACATCCAATCCCATCATGGGAATAACCCACATCACAATTGCTTATCATACAGAATTATGGTCCAGTGAAATTAACACACAGCTCCAACTATCACTCATTAAAAAGGAAAGAAGAAAAGACCAAAATAGATGTCAGAAGAGATTCTGAAAATTGCTCCTGAATGAAGAGTAGGTAGAACAAAAGGAAGAAATGATGAAGTAAGACATCTGAACAGAAGATTTCAAAAAGTGGCTCAAGAAGGCAAAGTAAAGTATTATAATGAAATGGCAAAGACCTGGAGTTGGAAAATCAAATGGGAAGGATTCATTCAGCATTTCTCAAACTGAAAGAACTGAAGAAAAATTAAAGCCTTGAATTGAAATATTGAAGGATTCTATGGACAAATTATTGAAAATGCAGGAAACATCAAAAGAAGATGGAAGAAATACACAGTCACTGTACCAAAATGTATTGGTCAATGATTGACCATTACAGGAGGTAGCATGTGATCAAGAACCAATGGTATTGAAGGAAGAAGTTCAAGCAACACTGAAGGAATTGGACAAAAAAAAAAAAGACTTCATGAATTGAAGGAATACCTTTTGAGATATTTCAACAATGCCAGAAGCACTCACTCATCTATGCCAAGAAATTTGGAACACAACTCTCTGGCCAACCAACTGGAAAAGATCAATTTTTGTGCCTATTCCAAAGAAAGGTGACTTAACAGAATGCTGAAATTATTGAACAATATTATTAATACCACATGTAAGTAAAATTTTGCTGAAAATAACTCAAAAATTGTTGCAGCAGTACATTGACAGGAAACTGCCAGAAAGTCAACCAAATTCAGAACAGGACATGGAATGAGGGATATCACTGCTGATGTCAGATGTGTCTTGGCTGAAAGCAAAGGAAACAAGAAAAAAATGTTTACTTGTGTTTTATTGACCGTGCAAAAGCATTCAACTGTGTGGATAACAACAAATAATGGACAACTTTAGGTAGAATGGGAATTCCAGAACACTTACTTTTGCTTGTGAAGAACCTGTACATAGACTGAGAGTCAGTCTTTTGAACAGAATAAAGGGACATAGCATAGTTTAAATTTAAGGAATATGTGTGTCAGGGCTGTATTCTTTTACTATACTTATTCAGTCTTCATGTTGAGCAAACAGTCCAAGAAGCCATACTATATGAAAAACAACATGGGATAAGGATTGGAGGAAGACTCATCAATAACTTGCAACATGCAGATGACACTTTCAGTTCCTTGCTGAAAGTGAAGACTTGAAGTACATATACAAAAATCAAAGACTGCAGTCTTCAGTATGAATTATACCTCAACATAAAGAAATAAAAAATCCCCAAAACTGGACCAAAAAGATTGAGGTTGTCAAGGATTTCGTTTTACTTGGATTCACAATTGTTGTTGTTGTTATGTGCCGTCAAGTCAACCTCGACTCATAGCGACCCCTCCTTGGGTTTCCGAGGCAGTATCACTAAGGAAGTAGGATTGCCCAACCTTCCTTCCGAGGAGTGG